GGGCAGGGAGGAGGCAATGCAGGGAGAGGACAGTGAGAGGGGGAGCCCATCAAGGGCTGATGAGTGGACAGCAGATGGAATAGATAACAGTCCACAGCCTGCCTTCGCTGACCAACTGCTGCAACATGCTGCTAGTGCCAGCCAGAGGTGGGAGTCCTGTTGGCCAAGCGTGCACATAGAACACTTAAATTGTCACATTTGAAACACATAATGGTTACGTTGGTCATGTGTGCTATCTTGTTTCCTGTAACCTCAAAATCAAGGCTTTTTGCTGATATCAGAGGAAGGAAATGGAAGATTCCCCCCCCCCCATAGTGATCAGAGATGATTTCAAAAGAGATACAGGCAATTATGTGAATTCATAGCCTGTGTAGTACATTTATAAGTTATCCATTTCATTCAATCTGTTTGAATGTGCAAGTTTATCTACTTGAAGAGAGCTCACAGTTGAACTGATGCTGGAACACTGACTTGCATATTCAATCTGTTTGAATGTGCAAGCTTATCTACTTGGAGAGCTCACAGTTGAACTGATGCTGGAACACTGACTTGCAAAAAAAACCCTCTTAGTTTCATAGGACTAGGAAAGGAATAAAGTGGTGGGTTTTTTTGTTGGTTTTTTTTTTTCATTCCTGATCTCTTAAGAAAACCAAGTCCTTATAGGTATCCCTACAAGCATATGCTTGTATCTTACATTTTATTAATGTCTACATGGGCAGAAGTATCTGTTTTCTAGAACACATGAGAGCATATAAGCATCCATACAAATATATTTATCAAAATAAATTATTTGTGTATTGGAGTTAGTGGTAGCTAAGCTATATTGACATCTGAAAGGTTAGACAGAATATCTTTAATTATAAAATGCTGTGTAACTTCTTTGTAATTATGGAAAATTAAATGGAAGCTGAGTTTGTTTAAATTCTTTGCCATGGATATCTAGATCTTATTTATTTCAATAGTTTGGCTTAGCACAATCCTTAAGCAGTTACCTAAGGAGAGTACATATAATTACTGGTAGGGCGGTACAAGGAATATTTGTCATTAGAGATGCCTTTGCTCTCCCATTCTGTGATACAATGAATAAGAAATGAATAGAGGGAAAAAATGTATCAATAAACTGCAATATCTATGAAGAACTTAAACAACAAATAGTCTAGTAGCACCTTAAAGACTAACAAAACATGTAGATGGTATCATGAGCTTTCATGGACACAACCTACATCTTCAGATGATGGGTTGTGCCCATGAAAGCTCATGATACCATCTACATGTTTTGTTAGTCATTAAGGTGCATGCTTCTAGATTATTTGTTTAAGTTTTTCCTGCTACAGACTAACTTGGCTACCCCTCTGAAACTTTTGCAGTATCTACAACAGCTGATCTCAGGTATATGCAAGCAATAAAATGTACCTAAATGCAGAACATTGTTATAAAGAAGAAAGAAACTGAGGTATATGGTTTCTACATTTAAAATCAAATGAAGTTATGCTAAGTATAAGTTATATATGTTTAGCTCTCCTTTCTTTCTACAGTGGCATACGTGAAAGATATTGGATAAAGCAAAAATACAAACAGACTTCTGATGCATTAGTTTATCACTAAATTTGTAGTTACATAAAATGTGAACCAGATAGTCAATAATTTTAATAGTTTAAAGGAGTTTTGCCAGATTACTTAAACAAGATATGTCTAAAATCCAAATGTGTTTAAAAGTATGGTTTGTTCTTCCTTGAGTAACTGAGGCTTAAATATTTAAGTAGATCATCTCAATCAAGCCCAGCTGTCACACCAAGGGGAGGAGACAGAAGTTGAAGATAAATATTTGAATTTAATCCTTGAGACATGTTTTTAATCTTACTAATAGGACCTGGTATTGACGTGCCTGCCCCTGATATGAGCACAGGTGAGAGGGAGATGTCCTGGATTGCAGATACCTACGCCAATACCATAGGACACTATGTAAGTTCTGAGCATAAACTTGGCAGAAACCCAGCCAACATTGCGTCAGATGTATTGCTTTAACTAGTCCTCTAATTTTAATTGTGCATCTTGGCAGAAACCCAGCCAACATTGCATCAGATGTATTGCTTTGTTAACTAGTCCTCTAATTTTAATTGTGCATGTAACTATAGCACTTTAATCATTATGGAGTTTTAGGTCATGGTTGTGGAAAAAAGTGCCAGAAGTCTTCCTCTTTAGACATAATTTAAAAGTTTAATTTTAAAAAAAGCAGCTGCAGCAATCATTTGACACATTTTCATGTGTCACATATGATGGAACAATTAGTATGATCATATTCAAACTGTATTAAACCATTAGTCCAGTGTCATCCTCTTTTCACAGTAGTATTGAAAAATAGACCCTCAAACAAGTTTTCAGTGAGATCTAGTTAGCCCTTGGTAACGCTGACCGTGTTTGGTAATGGAATATATTTGCTAACATTGTTCTAAAACCATAGGAAAGCACAATGAGGAGAGTTGATTAATGATAAGCAAAATTCAGAATTGACTTGCATTTTAAAATCAGACTTTTGTCCATATTGACTGTTTAGTCAAGCTAGTTTCTGCTAGTTTAACACTATTTTTGTTACAGTATTTAACTATGTATTAAATATTCCATCTCTATACAGTAAAATAGTGTTTCCGTTCAAAGCCCATGTACTTAGCTCTTTAAAGTCTTAATGAGATTTTACCATATCAGTTTTTAAAAGCACTGTTGTCAGGCTTTCATCGCTGATTTCTCTGAAATTGTTCAACCATCTGACACTTATCTCATTTGACACTAGTCTTGATTGTTAAAGTGCCTGCATGTTTATTTGAGAAATCTCTGCATGACCTCTCGAAATGACACTGTCAAGCTGGAGAAATACTGCAACAGCTGAATTGTGTGTATTGTTTTAATACCCTGCTGATCACACACTTTTACTCCTTTGTATGCCATAGCTGGTACAGATTGCATCAAGAGATTTTTCAGAGTACCAATGAAAAAATTAATGTAGATTTCAAAACTAGAGGTAGTATAAGAGAACAGTGATGTGTTTGAACACCCACAAAACAAAAGCCAAAAAACTTGAATTCTTAATGCCTTCCAGTTATGGTATTCCCCTTATGACTGTGTAAGACTGATTTGTCCCTGCATAGTCAATTGTTAGATTTTAGTGACCAGCTTTGACATTATGAAAACATAATAGTAGGCTAGGCAAATACTCAATTTTTTGTGATGTTTAGCACCAGAGTGTATAAATTACATGATGGTAGCTCTTAAGCATGTCCTTTAAACACTCAAGCCAGAAAACAAAGGAAAAAAGAAAAGTCAGTAGAACCTCTGAGTTATGGAATCTCTGGAACTGAGGTTTGTAATGCTCAAATGTTTGTAACTGAACAAAACATTATGGGTAGTTCTTTACAAAGTTTACAACTGAATATTGATTTTAATACAGGTTTGAAACTTTACTATGCAGAAGAAAAATGCTGCTTTCCCTTTATTTTTAGTAGTTTCTATTTAACATAGTACAGTACTGTCTTTGCTTTGATTAGTTTGTGAGGGCAAGATGGGGAGCAGTCTTGTTTGCTGCTGCCTGATTGCATATTTCCAGTTCCAAACAAGTTGTGTGGTTAATGGTCAGTTCGTATCTGTCGTTTGAAATTCTGAGGTTCTGCTATGCTGGGCTATTTTTAAAAAAGCTGTATTATCCCCTGAGTTCCTTGGTTTCCCCTTGGGGCCATTGGATTTCAAATATTTTATACAGGTTGACCATTTTCCTGATGTGCTGAGCATACTAATGTACTCTTTGAAGCAATAACAATTAATACTTAATGCTATTGCATGACTAGCTCAACCTCTGCTACTTCTGAATGAAATACTTACTTCTCTTGGTTTCTGCAGTCATTTAAAATAGTTCTTTGGGGAATACCTTCACTCTTTATTTCATACTTTCACTTACTATGCTATAAACCTGTTCATATCCCTCATAGAATACACGTTTACAAGGTGACAGTATTTTCCTAAGGCAATGTGCCCATTGGCAGAGCATTTACAACTTGCAATCTTTGACATTGAGTGAGGTGGTCTAGATCACACAGGCCAGTGTCTCAAGCAGTATTAATTATTCATGGAGGGGCGGGGTGGAGGGGAGAGGAGAGGAACAACCCTTTGAATAAATCTGTCTGGGAAATACTCTGCCTGTTGAGTTAGCTATAGAAATAAGAGCTATGAACAACCTCCTGCACTTACACTGCACAAATTAATCTTACTTTATAAAAATAATGAAATGCAGAATAGTTGGTTTCAAAAAGTACTTCAGGTTGCTAAGTGATAATATATTGCCTTTTAGTAAATTACAAAATCCAAGTCCCTAAGGAAATTGTTGCCGGCACACAGTGCCCGAGGGGGACAACAGCTGGGTTCGTTGCCCGGTGTGCGCGCTCCAATAAACACACCGGAGTGGAGAAGCAAAAAAAGTTTATTTGAATGTTCAAATAGGTGCCAGGAGACATCTCAAATCAAGCACACAATGTAAGCAGTTTTCCTTCCTTATATACCCAGGTTGTTTACTTGCAAGAACATAGTGAACTGTAGCAAGTTTCCCACACTGGGACATGTTCCTCCTCCCCCTGTACAGAAACACATCTGAATTCTTCTTCTATACCACTGATAGTAACTAACTGTTAGCGAGCTAGAGAAAAGTTATGTCAGGGAGGGGAAGGGGCTTTTAGGGTGCTTGGGCAAGAAAGATGCTCTGTCACCCACCCCCCTACCTCTATACATAAAATACTCAGGTTTAGCACCCGTTCTCCTGATACTTTATGTACATTTTACACTAGGGCTACGTCTACACTGGCATGATTTTCCGAAAATGCTTTTAACAGAAAAGTTTTCCGTTAAAAGCATTTTTGGAAAAGCACGTCTAGATTGGCAGGGTGCTTTTCCGCAAAAGCACTTTTTGTGGAAAAGCGTCCGTGGCCAATCTAGACGTGGTTTTCCGCAAAAAAAAGCTTCAGGTTGCCTAAGGGGGTAGCAGTTCATTTGCCTCGGGCACAGATGTCATCTGCTTCTGGTTCACCCGATTCGTGGTGGGATGAACGTGCATGGCTCCCTCGAAGTCTGACGTCGTCTGCTTCTGGGCATGAACGTGCGGTACCATGCCTGTGCTGATCCCCGTCTACTTCTGGACCTGGGTTTTTGGTACCAGGTCTGCGGTGCTCCTTGTTGGGGCCAACCTATGTAGGCACTGGAACCAGTTTGCAGTGGGAGGCATGAATCCAGGTGGGAAATTCCTCGTACTTTACAGCAATAAGGTGGTCAGAAGGACCTGGTAGGGACCCTTCCACCTGGGTTCCAGGGCAGTTTTCTGCTGATGAACTTTCACGCAAACCCAGTCTCCTGGTTGTAGTTTATGGCACGGCTCAGTCGGGACCTCCTGGAAGGCGTCTTTAACCTGTGAATGATAAGACTGTACACACCTCATAAGTTCCTGTCAATACTTGACTATGCTTCCTTTAACAAGTGTGGCATCAGCCAGGTTAATTTCTGGGCTGCTTAACAATCTCATAGGTCGGCCACATGCAATTTCATGTGGGCTGAGTCCAGTTTTCAGCTTAGGAGTGGCTCTTATGCTCATTAGGGCAATCGGGAGTGCTTCTACCCATGTTAAGCCAGAGTCCTCACATATTTTAGCAAGTTTGTTCTCTAAAATCCTGTTTCATCTTTTACTGCTTCTGCACTCTCCAGGTGTCACGCACAATGCAGTGCTTGTCTGATAGAGTAGTACTTTTCTAGTTTTGAATAATTTGTCCAGTAAAGTGGGTACCTCTATCACTGGAGATCACCAGGGGTATTCCTCATGATGGGATGTAATGATTTAGAAGTTTCTTTGCCACTGTGATGGCATCAGCTTTCCTGCAGGGATAAGCTTCCACTCATCTCAAAAACAAGCAAACATTAACCAGCACATTATTTAAAAAATTGACATTTAGGCAATTGAATAAAGTCCATTTGTAAATTCCCAAAGGCGGAGGTCTGGTTGCCAGAACTGTCTTTACAGGTTTACCCACATTGTGGGCTTGGCAGACAGGGCAAACCAAACAGTAATCTTTGGCTGCTTGGGAGAATTTGGGAGCAAATCAATGTTGTTTTACTTTTGCCAATGTGCGACAATCCATGGAGCATGGAGGCAAGGGGAGGTAGAAAGACCCTGGGGCAACAATGTGGCCATCAGAGCTGCACCAGTAGTGGTCTGGGTACAAGGTGCACCCTGCCAGTATCCACTCCTGCTTTTCCGATTTTTGGGGCTTGGTCTTACAGGAGGGCCAGTTCCAAAAGAGATGGCAAAGGAGCTGGCGATCGTAGGAGAGAAGGGAAAAAACAGCAGGTACAGGAGTAGATTCCATTACATTCCAAACAGTACAAACTGCATATCTTGCTGCTAAAACTTCACTAGTTTTATAATGGCAAAAACTTATCTGTAAAAAGCACAAAGTTAAGATTATTCAAGGGACTTAAATTATTCTTTCATTAAAACAACAATATTGTACACACAACAATGCTTGAAATACATGTATCACAATTAAGACACACTAGACAAATTTGGATAGAACACAGAACATAAACTTATTATGTCATGACACAGAACCATGTTTTTTTTCTTCAGTTAACTTTTCAGCTGATATTAGTGCTTCTTAATGATCTGAAAGACAAAACATTTCTACCTCTATCGGGGTGGCCTATTATAACTTAAAATACTGCCTAAGATCTGCTAGGGGAACCGATTACAGCTAACTCTTTACCACTTCTTTGGGCGAGTGAGCTGCAACTTTCCGAGAACAAGGTGCTTGCTAGTTACTATTCCGGCAAGCAAAAAGGTTTTCTTTTCCTGAAAAGAATCACATGCAATGTTACAGGCTTACTTATGGGGGGACAGTGCTCCCCACACTCCTTCCACAACAGAGTCAGCTTCTCGGCTTCTTCAAGTACTAAGGCTGTTGCTGCGACCGCCCGTAAACATGCCGGCCAGCCCTTGGCTACTTGATCGAGTTGTTTGGAAAAGTAGGCCACGGGACGTCTCCAGGTGCCTAATAACTGAGTAAGCACTCCCAAGGCCACCCCTTTTCGTTCATGTACATACAGTTGAAATGGCCTGGAGAGGTCTGGCAGACCCAGGGTTGGGGCTTCCATCAGTTTTCTTCTTAAAGTTTTAAATGCTTAGTCGGCTTCTGTGGACCAGTGAAAAGGGTCCTGATCTGTTCCCTTAACACATTCATACAATGGCTTAGCCCACAGTCCAAACTCTGGGATCCATATTCTACAAAAGCCTGCCATACTCAGAAATGCCCTGAGCTGCTTGCGACTGCATGGGGTGGGAATTTGGCAGATGGCCTCTTTTCTTTCATTTGAAAGCTGGCGCTCCCCTTGCTGTATGTGGAACCCCAGGTACCGTACTTCTGGAAGGGCGATTTGAACCTTATTCCGCGCTACCCGATATCCTCGGAGTCCAATAAAGTTCAGGAGGCTCACGGTGGCTTTAAGGCAGGGGGCTAGGCCCACAGTGGCAATTAACAAGTCATCTACATATTTCAGAAGGAGTACCTTGTCCACATTGTCCCACTCGGCCAAGTCTCTGGCCAGGGCCTGGCCAAAAAGGGTGGGGGAATTTTTAAATCCCTGGGCCAACACTGTCCAGCAAAGCTGTTTCTTAACCCTTTTTGTGTCTTCCCACTCGAAAGCGAAAATCTCCTGAGATGGAGCATCAACTGGAATCGTGAAGAAAGCATCTTTCAAATCGAGAACCGAAAAGTGGGTATACTGTCCTCCTATGGAGGCCAACAGTGTGTACGGGTTTGGGACAAGGGGGTGCAGCGTCTTAACCTGTTCATTAACCGCCCTTAAGTCCTGGACTAGTCGATATGTGCCATCCGGCTTCCGGACAAGCAAGATGGGGGTGTTCCAGGCTGACTGACATTCCCGAAGTGTACTGCAGCTTAAGAACCGGTCTATAGCCTCCTGCAACCCTTCTCTGGCTTCCCCCTGTTTGATCCGCACCGGGCTTTTACCTGGGAGGAGCTGAACGCTGACAGGGGTTTGGTGTGTGGCCTTTCCCGGGACCCCTGATGACCATACTAGGGGGTACACCTGATCCTCCCACTGGCTCCACTCAGGGGCTTGCACGGCAGAGGGCTTAGCTGCCAGAGTCATTATCCATGCATTCTCGGGGGGTAAGGTAAGGGTTATTTCATCCTGGGTGAAATGCAGGGTGGCACCTAAGCGACAAAGCAGGTCCTGTCCCAGCAGCAGCGTTGGGCACTCGGGGAGATAGACCAGCTTGTGAGTTATAGTTCTGTTTCCCAAAGCGCATTCTGCTGGGGCATACACTGGGCTCCTTTTCCTGTGGCACCCACCACAGTGAGGGAGTCCGCCACGGGCAGCTGAAGAGATTGGTTTACGGCGGTTCGTGCCGCCCCAGAGTCCACTAAAAAGTCTATTTCCGAATTTCCCACCCTCATTTTTACTCGGGGTTCCAGGGGCAGGATGATCCGTTTCCCCTGACACCCCTATTCATGAGTCTCTGCTGCCCTCATGGGGGCACATTCTCTTTCGGGGCATTCATTTTTCCAGCGTCCTTCCTTTCGACACAAGGCACACTGGTTGCGACCCAGATGTCTTCCCTGCAGGCCAGGACGCCCGCGTCCACGGCCCCGTCCTCTTTCCTGTAACCTTCCCCTTGCACCAGCCTGTACTGCAGCTACCATCATTTTCACTTGCTTCTTTTCCTTTTCTTCCTCTCTCAGGGAATAAGCCGTATTTGCAGTTTCCAGAATCTGTGCCATGGACATGCCCATTAAGTCCTCCTTTTTCTGTAATTTCCTTTTAATATCAAGGGCTACACAGCTGGTAAAGATCCCCTTTATAATTGCCTCAGTTGCCTGGTCATTGGGATTTGCATTAGTATTTTGCCGGATGGCGTCCCAAATCCGCTGCAAAAAGGCAACCGGACTTTCCTTTGGTTCCTGTATTAACTCATATGGTTTTGCCCAGTTGTTATGTCGGACAGCCGAGTGCTGGAGACCATGTAAAAGCAACTCCTTGTAGGAGGTGAGACAGGTCTACTGCAAGGGGTCATTAGGATTCCACCTAGGATCTGCTAGGGAAACCATGTCTGCAGGCTCAGGGAGGTTTTGTGGATCCCTTTTATGTCTCCGCTGTGCCTCCTCCCTTGCTTTGGCTATAACCTGATTCCGCGAGCTCTGGGGGCTCACATTAGTTACTACTGCACCCGACGGAGTTAAATTACACTGTTGCAAAATATCTGTTCTATTTCTTAAAGCCATAAACAACTGCGCATATAAATGTTCATGCCATTTACCCGTTCACTGACAAAACAGGAGTAATTGGAGGATTGTGTTATAATTGATTGATCCTTCTGGTGGCCACCTTTCCTGGTCCTCTAGCTGATATTGAGGCCAGTCTACTGTACAGAACCTTTTCAGTTTACTTTTAGTCATGGGATCTGATCCAAACACTTTCCAGTTCACTAGAATGCATTCTAAGGGCGTACACCATGCCCTGCCTGTCGCCTACCCCATAACCTCAGGAGACACTGGGCGTCCCCAGGTCTTAACAGGCGAAAGTCCACCCCACTGGACTGTTCCTACCTTATCCATGGGACCGGATCCGCACCGTCGCCCGCAACTGCTTCTCCACTATTTGAGCGCGTTGCACCGTTGTGCCCTCCGGGGTCGATCAAACTGTGTCTCCGCCGAGGCCCCTGATAGTCACCGGTGCACGCTGGGCGTCAGTCATTGCCACAATCCATCGACCACCAGGAGGGGTCCGGGCAAGGCTAAATTTCAGCCTCGAGTCCCATCTGGGTCGCCAAGAACTGTTGCCGGCACACAGTGCCCGAGTGGGGCAACAGCTGGGTTCGTTGCCCGGTGCGAACACACACCTGTGTGTGTGTGTGTGTGTGTGTGTGTGTGTGTGTGTGTGTGTGTCTTCACTGAGTGGAAAAAAAATTAATTTGAACGTTCAAATAGATGCCAGGAGACATCTCAAATCAAGCACACAATGTAAGCAGTTTTCCTTCCTTATATACCCAGGTTGTTTACTTGCAAGAACATAGTGAACTGTAGCAAGTTTCCCACGCTGGGACATGTTCCTCCTCCTCCCCCTCTACAGAAACACATCTGAATTCTTCTTCTATACCCGATAGTAACTAGGCAACTTCAAGGTCTTGCTGTTCCCAGCTGTTAGTGAGCTAGAGAAAAGTTATGTCTGGGGGAGAAAGAGCGGAAGGGGGGTAAGGGGGCTTTTAGGGTGCTTGGGCCTAGAGCGGGGGGGCTTCATCGATCCTTGTGATCTTCCACTCCCCCAGTTACCTAGGATCATGCCCAGTGACCCCAACAAAATGACTAGCTAGAGACATTTGTCTACTGCCAGTACAGTAAAATACGTATTTCATTATGACCTAATAACCCCTTTTATGTGCTCAAGGCAGTGACCAAAGACTTGTGTGCTTTCGCTGTACTTTTCAATATCATCTGCCCATATATGGAAGTTTCTTCCAATAGCTTCTTTAATTTTTCAATGGAAAATCTAAACACTGATCATCAAAGAACAAAATCATATTACAGGAAAATAGTAAAATGTATAGCAGTTTCACTGCTTCCTTTTCCTAATCTTGAAACCCAACTTGCTTTTTCAGTTCCAGCAGGGTTACAAGTAATATACAGACAAACTTTACTAAGATGAATTTAGTGCTGAAAGCAAAAAATCAATCATTTAAAAAAATGTTGTTCTAACAATTGCACCTTCTTACTTAGACCTCCTTTGCATTAAGTTTTGGTCACTAAAGTTGGAAGCTAGGATTTTTTTTTTATTCTTGGTAGCTGCTTTGGGTCTGCAGAGCTGTGTGAGTATAACTCTTTTCTCTTCCTGGCAAGCAGAAACCAGCTGAGAGAAGTGGAAGATAGGGAAAAGTGAAAATTGCTTCAGAATTGACAGAAAAGTGCCACAAGGGAAGGCGAGTCTAGGAAGAAGGGTTAAGAGGGAGGGAAGGCTTTTTATTTAAACTAGGATGTTTGGCAAGGCCACCAACCACATTTTCAGATCAATTATTTGTAAACTTGAAAAGTATTTGTAACACTTGAAAATTATTTATGGTGGGTCCTTTCCTCTAACTAAAGCTTAGGGTTAGGTTTTTACTGATACTAAATATTAAAAGCGAGATTTAAGCACTGCTATCAGAATGTGGATGGCTTTAAGAACATAAGAATGGCCGTACTGGGTCAGACCAAAGGTCCATCCAGCCCAGTATCCTGTCTGCTGACAGTGGCCAATACCAGATGCTCCAGCGGAAGTGAACAGAACAGGGAATCCTCTCATGATCCCTCTTCTGTCATCCATTTCCAGCCTCTGACAATTCGACTAGGAACACTATTCCTACCCATCCTGGCTAATAGCTAAGGGTATGGCTACACTTGCACCCTCTTTTGAGAGAGGGGTACAAATGAAGACATTCGAAATAGCAAATGAAGCTGGGATTTAAATATCCCTTGCTTCATTTGCATATTTGCGTTCTGGCGCTATTTTGAAATAACACGTTAAGACGCCGTTATTTTGAGAGAAAACCCTTCTCTTGAAATAACCCTTATTCCTCATACAATGAGGTTTACCAGTTATTTCGAGAGAAGGGTTTTCTCTCAAAATAACAGATGCTGTTAAGATGTGGTTATTTCGAAATAGCACCAGAACACAAATATGCAAATGAAGCACAGGATATTTAAATCCCAGCTTCATTTGCAATTTCGAATGTCTTCATCTGCATCCCTCTCTCGAAAGAGGGTGCAAGTGTAGACATACCCTAAAAGAATAATGGGTCTTCCTGGCCAAGGAAATTTTGTCTTTAATGGATACCATATTAACTTATACAGAAAATTCATAGTAAGTTTCTGGATTACTTAAGAAATATTACTAAACTCCTCTGTCTGAAATGAGCTGATACAACTCCTTGCTTTCTTTCCCCATTCCCTTATATTTTTTAAAACATTGGCCCTTCTGATGGAGGGAATTGTAGTTAGAAACTGTGTTTGTGTGCTCATAAACTGGTCATTCCTTCTGTGTGTGACTAGTTTAGATTTTTTTTTTTTAAATATAGCTAATTGGAAACTTGGTAATATATTGTAAGCTGCCCAAGATTATAGTATCACTAGTAAGTGGTTACAGCTGATTACCACCAGAGGGAGCAGACTACTTTCTAAAGGAAACGCATTTAGATTTTGGAATAAATTTTCTAATAAGCTGGACCTCGTTGGAAAATGAAGGATACTGAGACTCCTATATGTTACACTCAGAGTTTTAAGGGACAGGGTTTGCTTTGGGTATCAAATACATGCAAGACAACTAGGCAGAAGTTTTATTCCATTTGAGACTGCATAAAAGGTGGGGGTTTGTTGGCATGTGACTGCCTTTCCATGTAGGAAAAGAGACTTCTCTACTATTTTCTCACATGACTGAAGTGTAGGCTGTCCACTTGAGGTAAGATGTGGCCCCTCTGGTCAGACAGACGAAAAGACTGGAAAGATATGGGTAAAGCCTATTACTTGCGGATACATTTCTTAATAGCACCTCCATCTGATCAATATGTACTCATTTATAACGTTGCTAATATGCCTGTACTACATGCTTTCAAGTACAGGTTGAACCTGTACTTGGTCTGGCAACCTGGGAACCTGAGCTATCCCAGAACAGGGGAGGTCAGTGCTCCCCTGCTGGCTCCCAGGTTCTTCTCCTTGTGGCTCCCTGTTCTGAAGCTGGTCTCCCTAAAACTGGCCCAGCACAGCTCCCTATCCTGCTGCCCACCCACTGCCCCAGGGTCTCCTGGGGTTCCTGTCGGGGACTGTTTGGCCGCTGCCAGCCCCACTGCTGCACAGTGTTCCCCGGGTTCCCAGCTGAGGCTGCCTGGCCGTTGCCAGCCCTGCTGCTGCTGGGATTTCTGGCTAGGACTGCCTGGCCACCAACAACTCCACTGCAACCAGGGGTTCCATGGCTGGTGCTGGGACTCCCTGGTCACCTGGATCTGCTAACACCGGGAGTTCTCCATTCAGGACAGGGGCTCCCCAAATGTTTCCTGGTCCCACTGATGCCAGGGGTTCCCAGCCAGGGCGAGAGCTCCCCTGATGCTGACTGGCCCAGCTGAGGCTCCCCAGTCCCTGCATATTGCACCTGCCTCCCGGGCACTTTGGTCCAGCAACATCTGTGGTCCTGCAGTGATGTTGCCGAACCAGAGAGTCCTGGATTTGGGAGGTTCACCCTGTAATTATATTCATGTTGCCTGTTGCAACTATTTACAGTTAGAACTGTTTAATCACCTTCAAACTGCCCATAGATATGTCTTCAGTTTTTTATATTGTTTTAAGGCAGGCCTGAGCAAAATGTGAGCTGCATTGGGCCCACGAAGCCACTGGATCCAGCTCAGGGATGCTGAGGCTCCCCAGTCCCTGCATATTGCACCTGCCTCCCGGGCACTTTGGTCCAGCAACATCTGTGGTCCTGCAGTGATGTGGCCGAACCAGAGAATCCTGGATTTGGGAAGTTCCCTGCCTCTGGTACCCCAGACCCTTCCCCAATCCTCAGCCCCCAACTAGACCTGCCTCTGGTACCCCAGTCCCTTCCCCAATCCTCAGCCCCCAACTCCACGTACCCAAATCCTCTCCCAGATCCAGCACCCCAATCTTCTACCCCAGATCAGTCCCCTCCTGCCCTAGCTCACAACCCAAATCCCCACACTCCTTTTTGTACCCCAACTCCCTGCCCTAGATCACAATCCAACCACCTGCACCCAAGTCCAGTGCCCCTGGTTACAGCTGCCTCCCTACTCCAAACTCCCTCCCTTACCCAAGCTCCCTTCTGCACCGAACCTCCATCCCAGAACCCACACCTCCTCCATTAATATCCTGGAAGAGTGCAGCCCTTGACCAAATCCCAAATTCTTGGAGTGCCCCCCCATCAAAAATTATTGCCCACCCCTGTTTTAAGGGATTAATTTGCCAAGAACAGTGATGGCTATCACAACTGTAGAGTGATTACTTACCACTAACAGGCATACAGTTCACTGCCTTTGTAGCTAGTCACACGGCAGCTTCTCTCTGGACCCCCTCATCCTTATATCATCACTGTAAATATACCACTGTAAATTAATGTGAGCATAGAGCTGAATTGTGCAAATCACATGTCAGAAAATTGCACAATATCTGAAATACTGTGGTTATGTAACTGCATTGTATGGCAAGGTAGAATTTCTATATGATGCCTATGGTAAACAGAACAATGGAGTTCAGAGAGGTGAGTTTTAAAAGGTGTTTCATATTTCCATTATTGCGGTCAGTAAAAGCCTAAAATTTAAGTACTTCAGGGAAATAAATCTATTCATGTGTTTGAATCTCGCATTCAAACATTATACCTCAGCGGTTGTTTGACTGGCCTTCATGAAAAGATTGGTGCAGTTCATAGAGTTCTAAACTGTCTTGCAGGATATTAATGCGCATGCCTGTGTCACTGGTAAACCTATCAGCCAAGGTGGTATCCACGGACGTATCTCTGCCACTGGTCGAGGTCTCTTTCATGGAATTGAAAACTTCATCAACGAAGCATCATATATGAGCCTTTTGGGAATGACTCCAGGGTTTGGAGATAAGACATTTGTCGTCCAGGTAATTTGTCTAGAAATGCAATTGTTTTAGTGAAGAAAGTTGGAAACATAGCAGCTTTTAAAATCACTATTAAACCTGTAGATCTGGTAACTTTAGAGATTAGCTTTCTAATCAATGTCTACTTCAGAAGCAGTTTTCAGAAGTCATCCTTTATTTTGCATTTTTTTAAATTACATACAAAGGCATGAGTCAAAACACTAGCCATTTTCTAAGAACAATGTTATAACCATAGACTGAGTGTGTCTGTACATTAAAAAAAAAAAAAAA